AAAAAACAAAAAAAAAAAAACCAAAAAAAAAACGTAACCTAGCTTACTTATTTTTCAGGTGCTTTGTAAGTCAAAAACATTTCTTTAAAAATTTTTTTTAATGTTTATTTCTGAGACAGAGAGAGACAGAGCATGAGTGGGGGAGGGGCAGAGAGCGAGGGATACACAGAATCAGAAGCAGGCTCCAGGCTCTGACCTGTCAGCACAGAGCCTGACGTGGGGCTCGAACTCACAAACCGTGAGATCATGACCTGAACTGAAGTTGGTCACTCAACTGACTGAGCCACCCAGGCTCCCCAAAAACATTTTTATTCTCAGTAGCTGTTCAGGTATTTTAGTTTCCAGAGACTTGGTAGGAATTCTAAGAGCAAATGCTGTGGCAAGACTGAAATTTCTTTAGTCTTCATACTATTGGGAAATTTGTAGCTAGATGTGAAAAGGATACTAGTCCTCTCTCTGCATTGTAGCCAGGTGAGCTTTTCAAACTTTGAATCTTATAATCCATCTGCCTAAAATCCTTAGTCACTTTCTATGCTTAAGGCAGACTGTAAATTCCTATTTATACCATCTGGGCCATGCCTACCTTTCTACACCCTCAACGTTTGTCCCTTGCTTTTTGGTCACTTGGATCTTCTTTCAGATTTCCTGTGTTTTCTTCTTGCCACAGGGCCATTATATACGCTGTTCCCTCTTTCGAGAATGCTCTTTTCCTAATTCTTTAATTCTACTGATCTTTGTTATCTCACCTTAACTGTTGCCTTAGAGAAGTCTTCTTTGATTCCCTCATCAATGTTAGGTTCCTTTTATTATGCTTTTGTGTGTCATGACTTCTTATTCTTCATCTCTTTGCAAAAATGCATTTAGTTTTCTGTACTAGATAAATGCTTCATTATAGTGACTTTCCATCTGGTTTTATCATTGTATTACCAGCTCCTAGCATAATGGCTGTCATTGTTGGTGTTTAAGAAATACTTATGGAATGGATCAATGAATTTCTGACCAAATCTTGCCTTTGCTTTAAAGTCGTCTCCTGGAGTTCTGAGCAGCTTTCAGAGGCAACTACCTTAGGGTATTTAGACAATTGTTCATAAACATTTTTTATTGAGGTATAATTTATGTAGAGTCAGAGGTACATTAATCATAGTTCTGTCATGGAATCCACTTTTAGGTGAAGAACAAGGTTTCAAAAGGTAGTACCACTTAACTGTTGTTTAAAAGGAAAAAAGGGAATTCTGACATTGATATGAACAATCATCATAATAAATGTGGGAACCTCACAAAATTACTTCTTTGAAGGCCATTGTCATTTGGATGTATGGCTGTGCTATATTTTGTGAAGGTTTTTTTTTTT